ATGCTTGGAGGTGTAAAGAGGGAGTGTTGGTGAGAACCGCAAAGAGTAAAGTGTGATTTTTTAAGAAGTCTAGATAGCTGCATAGATGTATAAGGGTGACCATGGCCGAAAGGCGTTTTATCAAAACGAGCCCAGGTTCCTAACCGATTGGGGACAACGATAATCAACTTTCCAGAGCCAGTGAGAATGCGCCAGATGTTTTTAAGGAACTCAACAGGCGGTATATGCGTGTATTCTAAAGCGTGTACAATTAAGATGCAGTCGATGCTGTTGTCGGTTAAAGGAAAATGTGCTTCTTCAGTAAGAGCAGAACGGTTTTTGTTTCCTTCTGCATGCCAGTGGATAGCGCCTAGATTTCCTGGAAAAAGAGCAATTCGCCGCTCTGCTTTTCCTTTGAAATCTTCAAGATAGGGCAGGGCGTATCCAATGCCTAAAACTCTTTTCCCAGAGAGGTTATGCCAAATTTTCTGAAGCTGGTCAGAAATAAGGTGACTCACATTTTTGCCTAAAGGAGAGGTATAAAACTCATGTAAGGTTCTTGCATCGACCCACATCTTATTCACACTCCATTTTTAAATACAAAGTTCAGGTTTGTTTGACTTGAGTTTGTTGAAGGATATCGTCCAAACTCTGTTTATATCCTGGATTATTTGAGTATTTTGATTGGGGCTTTAAAGTAGAGAGGCTCCGTACAATCTCTGCACGATCGGAAGCATTTGTTGGAGAAATGCGAAATTGAACTTCAGGGCGAAAACGGTGGGGAAGCCATTGATGAAGCGTTCGTGCGCCAGAAGAAAGGTACCCATGAGAACGTGCTGAATTGAGGATAGGGGGAAGGGGTTTTTGGTGCCAATAGATCAGTGCGCCAAGGTACATCAGGCAAACAATTACAGCACCTCGTACAATGCCAAAAAGAAGGCCTAAAGAGCGGTCAACGCCCCCTAAAGAACTGCTTTTAACCATCTTCGAAAGTGCATTGCTCAGCAGTGTTAATGTGACAAGAATAATAAGGAATAGGACAAGTCCAGCGACGACATCTCGTAAAAGAGGATGTTGAATATAGGAGCCAAAAAAGCGTTGAGAGGCACTGAATCCATAAAGGGTTCCGATAATTGCCCCAAGCCATCCCATAAGACCGAGCGTTTCCCGGGTGAGACCACGCATAAATCCAATGGCGCATGATAAACCAATCAGGATGAGAACCCATAAATCGATAGGGTTAATGGGCCAAGAAGTCATATTTTAAGCAGCTCCATATTGATTACCTGATTCTTCTTGAATCAGGTAGGGGAGAATTTCTTTTAGATAAGAAAAAGAGTGACGTTTGATATGTAAAGGTGCAAGGCTTTTTTGTGTTTTTGGCATCCAAACTTCTTTGAATCCGAGTTTTTCAGCCTCTTTTAGACGAGAATCGATTCCTGGAACGCGGCGTACTTCTCCAGAAAGACCAACTTCTCCAAAGATGACAGTATTGTGAGGAAGGGGACGTTGGCTGAGAGCAGAG